TATATATATATATATATATATATATAATAAAATAATATAATAAAAAGATTATTTTTTAACGATTTTCAATTCAGTAATAAATTTTTTACAATTATTAAATTTGAAATTATCTACATAATAATGTTATGTTAATAATTGTAGTTTGTAAATTTTAAATCTTATCAATGCGCTACGGATTTTTTCATTATGTGTTACTAATTTATTGTGTGCTATAAAGTAATATTAATTACGTAAAACTCGTCATTAGTAAAGAAATTGAATTATTATTAAAAATTTTTCCTTTTTTTAATTTTAATTTTTAATACATATACGTAGATTTAATCGTTACTAACAATTTTGTTCTTAATGTTTTAATTTTTCATTAATTTTAAGATTTTAAAGAATAAACGTGTTTATTATTATATTTTTTATTATTTATATTACAACTTTTATCATTAAAATTCTAAAACTCAGTTAAAATATCGATAAAATTTCGATATAATAATTTATAATAAAATTTAAACAAATAAACTATAATCATATTATATATTCACTTATAATAGTACATACAAGGTTATGTCCTTATTGTAATCACATTACAATAATAAGGGAAACATCATTTATTTAAACAAATAAACTATAATCATATTATATATTCACTTATAACAGTACATACAAGGTTATGTTCTTATCGTAATCACATTACAATAATAGGGAGACATCATTTTTTATAAAATGAAAGTTCTTTTTATTATTAATAACAATATAAGTACACAATAAATAACTATTTTTATAAATATTCGTATTAAAATTGAATTAAAAAATTAGGTTAAAAGTTATTGTTTTAATAAGGTTCAAGAAAATCAATGATTGCATAACAATTCATTGTAAATTTAATTGTTGTTACATTTGTTTATAATTCATATGTATGTACTTTTTTAATAGTTATTAATACTTTCAAAAATAATCCAAAATAATCAAATGATAAATTGATACGTAACGTTGTATTTTAAAATTTCTTACATAATAGATGTGTAGCACACATACGCGCGCGCATTTACTCAAAATATATATATTTACTTATAAAATATATATCTAAAGAAAAGGTAAATGATTATGATTAAAGAAATATTGGTAAATTAAAATAAATGTTTCAATAATTGTACTAAATTATTATTTTGTTTAACATATTTCAATATCTTTCTCGTTTTTTCATCGTGTGGATTATTATTATTAGCAACGTAAAAGAATTTAAAAATTACAAGAATTTACAAATTGTTATACAATTAAAAGTATTGTAAATAATTTGATAATTTTAATGTCAAGTATTTATTTTATTTTTATATTTTGATACTAATGATAATTATTATCATTAATTTAATTATTTATTATCTATTGCTAACGATAATTTATCATTAATTATTCATATTTTGAACTCGAAAACTTACTTTATTGTATAAGCATAAGGCTTTATAGTAATTTTCATTCTTTACATGGACCGTTGCTTCATTTACCAACAACTTTTTTTCTATTGATGCGAGATGTTTTATTTGTGATATTGATTTTCGATGATTTATCATATTAATTCAATACCTACAATATTGCATATTAATATTTAATTGCATGTTATACATAGGTAAAAATAAATACAATCTATTATATACAAATATACTCTTTAGCAAATGATATATAATTAATTTTTAATTATAAAAATAATTTTTTAAATATAAATCTATAATTTGTAATTACATAATTTGTTGTATTTTGAGGTTAATCAATCATGAAAACAAATTATAGTTTTATTTTATGTAATCATGCAAGTAATCAAACATTTTTATCAGTATCAATATCCAAAAAATTATTTTTTATTATATTAAAAAGAAAAAAATGATTAAATTTTATTAACTAATTTATTAATTTTATTTATTATTTATAAATTGCGAATAATTACGAGTTTTTTAAATATTATAGTATATATTAATAAATAATTTCATTTTCTTTTCTTAAGAATCAATCATGCAGGACACAGAGAATATAATTGTTAAATATAAAACGTTTATTTAAATTTACCTAATAAACATTTTTTCAATACTTAAAAAGGTAATAAATCATTCATTAAAATAGTAGAATATACATATGTATTTTAATTAGAAAAATAGTCAACATCAATATATTAATACGTATGTAATATATCACTTACCTTTCAATCTTTGCGAACAGCTTTTCTAATTAATTAGAGTTTATATTTATATTTCTACACCGAACATATTTTTATATTTAATTGTGAAATTCATAGCAAGTAGATCCTTATTCAGATAAATAATGTTAACTTTCTAAAGGCTATTTTTAATTCTGAATTTACGATCGAAATTTTCCCGTCTATACTTTTTGTACTGTCTCCCTACTCTTAATAATCTGGACTAATCAATATGACAGTAGTAACAAAGAACAAGGATGACTAGAAAAGTCTTTTAAGATTTTTTATTCTTCAGAAATTATAACGGAAATATATAATAATGAAAATAAACGAATTACAACTACTATTATTATTATTTTTAAATTGTCTTCTATGAAAAGTTAATAGAAATCCAATTGTTTAAATAAAATTATTTCTCATAAATTAATTTAGTACAATATTAAAATATTTTTTGTATATGTAAATAAATATTATTAACTTATTACTAAGTTATTAGTAATACATATATTTCAAATTAAAAATTTATTGAATTTTAAATAATCTTTTTCTTTTTTTGGTTTCTGAAAGATTTAAAAATTTAGGTACTCGTTAAAGTATTTATTATTTTACAATGTTGTGTCATTGCAAAAATATGTACTTAAAAAATGATACTTAATTACTATTCTTCAATAATATTTTAAATGATAAAATAAAATAGTAATTAATTATTGAAGTTAGATTACTATAAAATCTTAAATTATCTTTTTTAATTTAAATGATAATAACATATTTAAAATATCATGACTTTTCAATTAAAAATATAAAAAATTACTAGATCTCGAAGTAGCGAAGTATAAGATATTTTGTTTTATATTAAATGTTTTAATCATAAGATAGAATGCTTTATATTAAATTTCTAGTGGGCATGTATACGAGAATACAAGTCACATCGCTATAAAATAGTAAAAACCATCATTTTCAAAAAAAATGATATAAACGTTATCAAAATTTAATACTTGCTCTAATATTTTTTTTCAAATTTAAATATTATAACTGCTTTATTGCGAAATTAACAATTCTTTTTTACCTACCAAAGAAATGTAATAGAAATGATAATGGGAATTGTTTAAGATTTGATTATGAAATACAATATCTTTAAACAACAATAACTTAATTATTGATAAAATATTTAATATAATATATTAAATAATTATATATACTAAGTTTCATAATAAATATTTTTCATAAAATAATTAATTTAATTACACTTAATTACATGTTATCTTTGTTATAATTATTCTACACAACTATATATAATACAATGTACTAAAAGTATATTAAAAGTATATTATTGTGATGGTTTCCATGGTATAATTTTTGGTTTGGTAGTAGTGTAAGGTATGTAAGCTTCATTAGTACCACTTAAATTTGCTTTGTGATCTGCCATCCACTTGTGATTTGGTCGACTGGGATCCTTAGTAGGGATTAAATCTGTTTTATAATGTAACCATCCAAACCATTCTGCTGGGACTTGAGAACCATCATAATTCAAATGAACTTTTTCAGAATATATTATCCACCTATTACGACCTATTATAATGATAATAAAAATTTTCTAATTAGATTATTTATTGTTTAGTTTAAAGTTTAATAGTAACTCTTAATTATTTATATTCCTAAATTATATTTAGTTATTATATTACTAATATAAAATTATACTTATTTCTTATGTATAGCTATTTAAATTGACTCATTCAAATATCTTGATATGAAAATTTTGAATAAGTAAGCTTCTCCTATGTGAACACAGAATGCACATGAAGATCAATTTCATTTTTTCTCGATAAAATTATATATTTTTTAATACAATCAATGCAGCTTGACGTTTTCTACAAAAAGTTATTAATCCACGTATGTTAAAAAAATATTAGGAGAAGATGGAGTAAGAACTAGGGTTAGTAAGATACATTTCTTTTTTATGGCTCGTTTGTGAGTCTAAAAATCTGAAAATTCATTGGCATAATTTATATTTTTCATAAGTCTATCTACTAATGTCTATTCAGTTAAGCGTTTTTCACTAAATGTTTACTGAAAATTTTATTGATCAAATGTTGCAATTTTTAGTATATAAAATTTTTTCTTAATTTTAGTAACATACTTTGTTAAGAACTTTTTATCTGAATTTATAGGCTATTAGAAGAATTTTTAATTAAAATTATTTATTTTACTTTTTATTTTTTGTTCATGAAAAAAAATTTCTTAAAGATAATAAGAAACATTACTTTCTATTTTTTGCCTTGATTTCAATACTTCGCAATAATAGACAAGATATTTTGCCTGCTTGTCTCTTAAGATAACACTTTTATTTCAAAGAAAAATCAATGAAGTTTTGTTCTGTCATTTTCAAATAGTGTACATTTTAATTATGTTTCTTATAATTCTTTAAGAATTTTTTTTATTATTTTAAAAGCTTGTTTCTTATTATCCCTGATGGGATATTAGAACATGCTGAGATAAGAAACAATATTTTCTCTATGAACTGAAATGACATAATATTTTTTTCCTTGAAAGGTTCATTAGAACTTCAAACTCAAAAACATTTGCCATACTAATTCTGTATGTATCCCATTCTTCCTTAGTTTAGAAGATATTTTAACTTTAACTTTATATGAAATCAGTTGTATGAAAGATACGAAAGAGAGTGATATTCTTACGCTCATCTTGTTTTTGTCTCTTATACGATAAATTTTAAAACTAGATCTTTCAAATTCATAGTTTTTGACATACATTGACTAATATCTTTTTATAGGGAATATCAATCAGTATCAATTAGTCTATTAAAAAATATACAATTTCATTTTCTTTCATGTAATTATATAAAAAATACTAACATTAGATAATGTGGTCCCTGAAATTTAACTTTTGTCTAATATATTTTTTAATATTGTCAATTTGTTTTGAAGATATTCAAATGAATTGATTTAAATAGGCCATTATGTATAAAAGATAAATTTATTTAGTCATATTGCTCTACTGTTAATATTATTTTTATAAATATTTTACACATTTGCAATATAAATGAAAAATAAACGAAATGATTATTTTTAGAACTTACCAAACATGTATTCATTATTCTCATAATATTTGTTTCCATATTTATCTATGCCAACTAAGGTACCATCTCTTAGTTCATCCACTCTGTAATATAATATTACATAATATAATTAATGTTAAATTGTTTTTATACGTTTATGTCAAACGTACGATAGAAAATAAATATCTATAATTATACAATTATAAATATCTAATAAACTAAATTAGGTTAGTATAAAATTTTCAATTGAAATAGTAATTATAAGCTATATTGATATAAATAAATATTAATTGTTATAATAACCTGTATGTAAGACGCAAAGAATTTAAAATACCACCATTTGCTTTTATTGTACGCCAAAAATTACAAATTCTATCTATTCCCAGATACTTCGCCATGTTTATTACATACACAACCTTACACGTCCGCTACTAGCGTCACATATATGCGATGTTTCATTTCTTGTATGAGTCCGACGCTACAAATGTGCAACGTGTTTACTTTATCAATTTATGACAATGTGTTGCACTAATTTTTCGCCGAAACAGTTGTAATGGGCTATAAAACAACAAAATAAATGCAGGATGTTCTTGGTCTGGAGATAAAATTATATTTTGTTTATTTTCAATGTTATAAATATAATGTTAAAAAACCCAATGCCAACTGAAGTCATATTATGAGGGAGAAAAAATTCCCTAGCCTGTGGTAAGATTTTTATAATATATATTTGATGGATAAGATTTTTTTTTCAAGCTATGGTAGCGAACGTGTTAACTATACAAATTTTATGGATGTGTTACTTTAAGGTTAATTATAGTATTACATAAAATGTATGATATATATTATGTATAATAGTAATATAAATATTTCCTAAAAGTTATGATTAAAATTATTCAGATATAAAAGATTGATATTTTTTATATATATTCAATCTTATATGAGTACAATATAAAATTTTTATTTGTAATTTCATATTTTTATACAATAAAAATATTGAATATTATTTTTGAAGTGGATTGTAATAAGATGATAAATATTTTGTATAAAACATACAAATCGTATACATAATTATGCTGTTGATAAATCGATTAATAAGAAATGAGTCATAGTGTATAATGAATATTTAATTATTTAAATTTATTGAATTTATTTCTAAAAAATTGATTAAAAACATATTCCAATTTGTTATTTTATCAAAATTTTGTTGATTAATAAAAATACTTCAATATTATAATGAAAATATTATAACATTGTTAAAAGATTGTTGCATTTAAAATTATTTACAATTCTTTATATGCGATTTATACTTCATTTTTATAATAAAAATTTTTAATAACTTATGTATATATGTCTTATATAACGTGATTATATATAATAAATGTATATTTATTATTTAATAAAATTTATATAGTGTTATGATAATATTTATAATATTATAATTTATTATTTATTATTGAAAGTTAATGGTACGATATAAAATAATTGATTTTAAAAAATTTTAATATATTAAGGTGAACTTTCATGTTTGATCACAAATGTCTTACAATTTTTATTATTTATTTTCAATTATTCTCCGTATATCTCCGTTAAACATTTTTGCCATTTAAAACAAAAGAACAAAATTTTTATTTTAATTCATAAACTTGAATGTTAGACTTTAAAAATGATTTAAATTTTTAAAATTGCAGCTTTGAATGCATTTGTTTTTTTTCAAAATTTACTATATTTATTTGCAAAATTTTAGTTCGATCACACTAACGTTAATATAACAAAAAATGTTTTGAGCCAACGAGAGAACATAATATTATGTTCAACATAATATAACGAAAACCAAAATAGAAAGAGATATTTCAATATGCAAACCTCATTATTAGAGAAAAAACAAACTAAATACAAGAAAAAAGCTAACCATGAAGGAAAAAGAAAATATAGAAGTAAAATTATCGATAAGGATGAAAAAGTCAATCTCCATAAAGAAAAAATGGAAGGATCAAGAAAGCCTAAGAAGATAACTAAAGATGTACAAACAATATTTATTTCTGCCATAGATCCTTATGATGCTCCTTTGCAATGGTGGGAATCGGAACACGTAAGATATGCGTAAGTTAAAATTTTTACTGTTTGTATCGAGTAATTTTTTTGTTTCCATCTGATTTTTAAAAGGTATAGAAATAGACAAATAAATAAAAAATACAGTACTTTTAACAGCTATGAAATATGAAAAAGTACTAGAAACAAAAAATATACATTTATATTTAAATGAAATTTAATTAAAATTTGTATTTTATGTGATCTTTCTGTTATTTTCTAGATTAGATAGTATTTATTAATCTACTTTTTTGTAGAATAAATTATCCACCGGTAAAATTTCGATTAGAAAAAGTGATGGGAACTCATATTGTGCGATTAACTGATCGCAAATATATGTTACTTCTCGCAGCTAAACTCTTGGAGAATCATTTAGAGGAACAAGAAATTCGCATTGAGAACAGAAAACTACCAT